CCAAAAAAAAAAAAAAAAAAAAAGTAGACACGGCTTGGTGAAGAAAAGGTCACACTATGTATTTCAGGCTTGCCTAGAACTCACAGCAGTTCTCTTGCCTTATCTTTCCCAGTGCTGAGATTACAGGCATGTGCCACCATGCCTGGGCACTATGTCATTTAAATTGCCAGTCTACCATTTGCCCCAAGTCAGTGATGCCCCAAGTACAGAAGGTAGAAACTTCGACTCCTAATCCCTAAGGGAGCCATTTACAAACTTTATTCTTCAAGAATTGTAATTTGTGGGTTTCAATTTGTCTGTCAGTTCTCTGGTAGCAATGGCTTGCTTTGGGCTTACCTGGCTTGGAACATCCCCAGGGCTAAGGTATCTTTGTGGGTGGCTTTTCCTAAATCATTTGATTGATAACAGCAGCCTGGGCAAAGAAAAACAATTGGGACATAGAACAGACAGACCAAAAATTCTGAGAAGGAAGATAATGGGAAATGATATACAGGTACATGAGATAGTAAGGGATTTTAAAAGTTCCTGTGTAGGCAATGAAATTGAAGCAGTGATAAAAACCTACCAACTAAGAAATGCCTAGGGTCCTGATGGATTCACTGGTAAATTCTTTGAACTTCAGAGATCTAACATCAATAATCCTAAAACTCTTTCATAAAATCACAAGGGAAGGAATAGGCTCAAAGTCATTCCTGGAAGCTAGCATTATATTGACTGTAAAACCAGACAAGAATCTAACCAAAAAAGAACTACAGGCCAATCATTTTAATGAACACAGATGCAAAAATCTTCAATAAGATACTGGCAAACAAAATGCAATAAATCATCAAAGATCATAAATCATGACCAAGTAGGCTTCATCCCAAGGATGCAAGGATGATGGTTCAACATATGCAAATCAATAATGTAACATATCACATAAACATAAGGACAAAAATCACATGATCATCTCAACAGATGCAGAAAAAGCCTTTCACAAAATCTAACATCCATTCATAATAACAATTCTGTGAAGAATATAAATATAAAAGGACTTATCTCAATCTGATAAAAGCCATTTATGACAAATGTACCGCCAACATCATATTAAATGGGGGAAAACTGACAGGTTTCCCTGCAAAAGCAGGAACAAGACAAGGATGTCCACTATCACCATGCTTGTTCAATACAGTATAGCAAGTCTTCAACTTACACACTTTTAAGCTGTGAACTTTCACATGTAGGAATGGACCTTGCATTTTGAACATTGTAGCTGTGAACAAATCATGGAAGTAGCTCATATGTCTGCCAGACATTGTCACAGTTGTGCTGGTGTGTGCTTACTACACTTGATCTTAGGCAAAAGGCCAAGAAGCAATGCTGTGTGCTCACTGTATTGTGCTATAGTATATAGTAGTACAGTGCTCAAACACAGCCCAGGATGTTCAGAATCAAAAGGAAAAGCAGTGGTGACATGGAAGTGACTGCTAGGAGGCGCAAAAGTAATATACATTGTACATCTGTGTCAAAGGTATGTAAGACTCACAAAAAGACTTACAAACAAATCCAACTTACATATGTTCTCCATGTTCTCCCAGAACAGTACTCACTTGTAAATCAGGGAATTACTGTCCTGAAAACATTACCCTGAGCAATCAGGCAAGAGAAAGAAATAAGGGATTTGTATAGGAAGACAAATTATCATTGTGTGCAGATGATATAGAAGACAGCTACACAGAAGACCCCAAAAAGTTCCTTCAAAAAACTCCTAGAAAATGGGGCTGGGGATTTAGCTCAGTGTCGCCACACCTCCCTCGCAAATGCAAGGTCCTGAGTTCAATTCCTGGTACAAAAAACAAAAAATAGAACAAAACAAACAAAAACAAAAAACATGTAATTCAGCAAGGCAGACGGATATAAAATCAGCAAACAAAAATCAATAGCATTTCTCCACCCCAATGATGAACTCACGGAGAAAGAAATTAAGAAAACAATATCATTCAAAATAGCTTTAAGAAAAATTATATACTGAGGAATTAACCTAAAAAGAAAGTGAAATACCTCTATAATGAAAACTATCGTACTCTGAAAAGGAGACAGAAGACATTAGAAAACAGAAAGATATCCCCTGTTCCTGGTTAGACAGA